TCATCTTTTCCTGCTGTAACATGTGATCCAATGATCTTTGACTTGCTGGACTGGATGCTGCTGCTGCTGCAGATGATGGTGCAGATACGTTTTTTTCCCTAGTTTACTTAAGTTTGAAGTGCTAGACATCTTGAATGTTCTTAAAATCTTCAAAATATTTAAAAGGGAGTGTCAGTGATAGCTCAAATATTATCCTAACACTTCCTCAAGCTCGCCCTCCCCTCCAATTTCCTTTTCTCAGTCTCCAAGTATTTCCACACTTTCTGTTATTATGATCCAGTAAAACAAAAAGATTGCTTGTTAATCTTCAGGTTCTTTAAACACTTGTCTTTTCTTCTCTTGTTAAATTTGTAAACCACTTAGGCCTACCAAGCCCCACAGTTCATCCACACAAACTCAAAAGGCAGGAGAAGAAAAAGAAAGGAGAGATAAAACTTCCTTGCTATTTTCCAGCTTCTGTTTACTTTCTCTGCTTAGTTTTCATATAAATCAAAAAAGCTACACTGTTTAGAAAGTTACAGTGTTTCACTCTCTGTCTCTGTTGTCCCATAGAAACAGTTTGCTGGAGCAGGTGTTATTTGTAGCAAACAAGCTTATCTTCCACAGGTGTTCAAGGTCATACTTTTCACAACTTTCACTTCTCTGTGTTTTTCTCCACCTATAGATGTCACTGTTGCTCTATCTCCTTTCTCTCTCATTAGCTTGAATTGTATTATCGGATCTAAAACTTTTCAAAAGTCCCAGGGATCTAAACTCATATTCCACAAAGTTTTCAACATAGTTTATAATATAGTTAAAATCCCAGTCCAACTTTCCTAGCTTTTAAATTTCATTCTCTTTCCAGCCAAATCTCTTTTCTTTGTTTCCGGTTTTATAATTAGCTCTCAGGCTTGCTCGCTGCTATTCTTGAGGGGTGGGAAAAAAAACAATTCCACCCCCTGTTTGAGTCTCACTTTCTCCCAGGCTTAATTTAAGGGGGAAGGTTCCTCAACAGGAGTTAGAAAAATCTCACCCAGATTGATTAGACTGTTCCTCAGTTTCTATGCTTGCTTCATCGGTTGGTTGTCACAGCTTTGGTCAGGTATGCAATAGCCATCTTTTTCTTCCTGCTTGCATGACAGCTTCCTCTAAATCAAACTAGGAGTTTGCAATCTCCTTGTGATTGACAGAGTGTCCTGTCTCTCTTCATCACCCCTCCAGGGTGACTTGTGTCCCTCAGAACCTCCTAGGAGATCAGATTCGACACAATCCCATGGACCCCTGTTGAGATGCATGTCGCTGTGACATCAGCCCCGCCTCCCCAAAACCAGAAATATTTTTGTTGGGCATGTTACCAGATAAGTATAACAAAGGGAATACATATTTGATTTTACATGTATTGACTGCAGCCAGAATTGTATTTGCACAACAATGGAAAAGTGAAAAGACCCCTACAGATTGAAATGTGATTAAAAAATATTAGAATGTGCAGAAATGCATAGATTAACACTTACAATTAAGGAAAAGGAAGAAACTGAATACTTTTTGACTTGGGACTTTTTTTAATCAATGGTTAGCTGACAAAAACAGAAGTTAGAAACATGGAACTATAAGAAAAGGAACAATGAGTTCCGGTTTGTCAGGCTTCGGCGGCGGCAGGAATTCGCGATTGTGCGCGATCCCTGCTGCGCTCGCTGCTGGAGTGCCTCCGATCCAGCTGGATTTGGAGGCTACAGTTATCCCATAGGGATAACTGAAGACAGGGGAGATCTGGGCAGGGGTCCAGGAGCATCACAACCCCCCTCCTCAGCCGGCTTAACTCCCTTTTCCAAAGGCGGTGGAGTGGCGGTCAGCAATGGCCGCCACAAAGAACCTCTCAGCCGGACAAGTTTTGTGCAGGAGGAAGTTGAGAAAGTGAAAGTTTTTGGCTGAACCGGGACAATAAGTAACATCTGATTACCCTGGAAATCTAGCTTTCTAAAGGATACATTGTTTCCCAAGAAGATCATAAAAAGCTGCGGATGAAAGTGAAAAGGGAAAGTTGTTTTTTTTCTTCACTCTCCTTCCCTACGGAGATAGCAGATGGAAATCAGAAATACCCACTTTGGCAACAAAAGGTAACCAATTTTGAAAATTAAAGCCAAGGGGACATTAAAGATTTCTGAACATTGATATTTAAAAATCAAAATCTTTTTCCTATAAGTGGGAAGGGAGAGGTAAAAGATTTATACTAAAATTTTGCTGGAGGAGACTGCTTGGAGCTTATAAGATCAGAGACTAAACTGCAATAAGACTTCTAAAAAATCATTTTGGAATTGTGTAATTGAACTCTACCCCAGGAAGAGAAAGTATTAAAAGAAGAAAGCGCTAAATGAAACAGTTTGTGTTGAGTTTGATTGCTTGATGACTTTGGGACTTTTGCAAACTATCTTTTGAAAGACTAAAAACATTTGGATTGTTTAAAGATAGATAGATAGATAGATAGATCTTTGGTTATTCGAGTTTTCTCCCGCGTAAGATTGGAAGTATCTAGGCAACGTTTTGATGAAGTCTCATTCATCATCTTCAGGCTTGTGTCTTCAGCTCTGTGCTTCTCAGAGTGATGTGAGCTTGCAGCTGCTTCTTCCTTTTAACTGCTAGTGGGGGTGTGACTTGATTGGGTGGGGGCTTGGCTGTGTTCTGATTGGGTGGGGGTGTGTTCTCATTGGTAGGGGTTTTGGCTGTGTTCTGATTGGTTGGGGGGTTGGCCATGTTCTGATTGTCTGGAGGCATGTTCTGTTCAGGTGGGGGCTTGGTTGTGCTCAGGTTAGTCTTAGTTGCTGGGGGATTTGAGCTGGTGAGCTGTGATCCTGCTCGGAGAAAACCCGAATAACCAAAGATCTATCTATCTATCTATATCGATATCTATCTATATATATGGCATTCAGCTTTGTTCGGGTATTTTCCCATGTCATTGTAGTTGTGCTTTTAAAGTTGTAGCAACGTTTCAGCAGAATCTCATCTGCCATCATCAGGCTTCTGATGATGGCAGATGAGATTCTGCTGAAACGTTGCTACAACTTTAA